GCTCGTATCTTTGTGAGGAAATGGTACACCGTTTGTTCCATTTATCTCGCCCCGAGTGTCCCGTTTTCTCTTCCCCATCTGAAACACCTACTGGACTCCTTGCCGGAGCCTGTGCTCCTGCTAGGTGATTTCAATTGTCGTCATTTCCTTTGGGGGTGATGTTCTGACGAACACCCGGGGTCGCCTTCTTGAGCCGTTCATCCTCTCTTCTTCCCTGTCTCTTCTGAATTCTGGTGAGCCCACGCATTTGGACTCTCGGACTTGCATTCTTTCCTGTCTTGATCTTTCTCTTTGCTCGTCTTCTCTTTACTTAGATTTCTTGTGGCAGATTCTTGATGATCTCCATGGCAGTGACCATTACCCCATCCTTGTTACTTTTTTCTCTTTTCACCTTCCCCTCTCCTTCCCTAGGTGGCAGTTTGCTAAGGCAGACTAGAACCTATTTACCCTCAGTGCTGCTCTCTCTGACCTCTCCCTCGCTCTCTCCTCCTTTTTCATGACACCGTCTTCGACGCTGCCCTCCACTCTATTCCTTGCTCTTCCTCTCGGGGACCACGGAAGTGCGTTCCCTGGTGGAATGCAGACTGTGCTTGGGCTGTCCGCTGTAAACGTGCAACCTGGAAGAGACACCTCTGCTGGCAGACGGTCAATTCTTTTCTTTTATTTCGGAAGGCGAGTGCGGTGGCCCGTAGGGCCATCCGTACGGCTAAACGTGAATGTTGGTCATCTTATGTCTCCACCATTACGTCCGACACTTCTCTGCCGCAGATCTGGAAGTGTATCCGCAAGATAGCGGGTAAGTTTGTTCTCGATGTCTCACCAGTCCTACACCTCTGTGGTACTCTTGTGGCGGACCCGTTGCAGGTCGCTTCTCTTCTGTTAGCTCTGGTTTTCATCTTCCCCAATCTTTCTTCGTAAACCTGTCCTTGAATCTCGTCCGTTAGATTTCTGAACTCATCTTCTACTTCCCTATAACGATCCCTTCTCTCTCTCTGAACTTCAGTCTGCCCTGGCCCTCTGCGGTTCTATCGCGGCGGGCTCTGATGGCATTCATTGAGAGATGCTTCGCCATCTCCCTTCGTGCACGTCTCAGTATTTACTGAATCTGTATAATCGGATCTGGGAGTCGTCGTCAGTCCCTGAGGACTGGCTCGATGCCGTTGTCCTCCCTGTTCGCAAACCAGGGTCTCTGGGAACATCCCCTAAGGACTTTCGCCATATTGCCCTCAAAAGTTGTCTGCAAACTCTTTGAACGAATGGTTAACATTCGTCTGAAGTGGTTCTTAGAACACCATCACCACATCTCCCCTTCTCAATTTGGTTTCCGCAAGTGCTGTAGCACAACAGATGTCCTGGTGAACTTGGAGGTCTATATTCGTATTGCTTTTGCTGCGAAGACCTCCGTTGTTGCCGTCCTTTTTGACCTGGAAAAGGCTTACGACACCACTTGGCGATATCATATTCTATCCCAGCTTCATTCTTTTGGCCTTCGTGGTCATCTCCCTCTCTTTCTCCGCAGCTTCCTCTCTCGTCGTTCCTCTCGGGTGAGGCTTGGTACCGCTCTCTCTGCCTCTTTTCAGCAATACGAAGGTGTGCCTCAGGGTAGTGTTCTGAGCACTACTCTTTTTATGTGTAGTGATGGTGGTGGGTGTTGTGTGGTGGTGGTGATGAGAATTTAAGTATTTAGGGAAGATGGCTACAGTTACGAGGCTGGTCGTTACAGTGTAGATGGTTACAGTGTTTCAGGTTGCGTGAAGTAAATACGGTTACAATGATGAGGGTTGTCATTAGTTAAGACGATTACTGTGGTGAAGATAATGCGATAGTGCGTAGTAACTATGGTTAGTGATGATAGTCATTTGTAGTGAAGATCGACACCATTGACGACTGTGTTGTAAAGTTGCAGTGATGAAACTATTGTATAATGAAGATGATTACAGTGAAGATATTGTGTGTACTGAAAATGATTACAGTGAAGTTATTGTGTGTACTAAAAATGATTATAGTGAAGTTTTTGTGTGTAGTGAAGATGGTTACAGTAAAAAAAAATGTGTAATGAAGATAGTGTGTAGTGATGATAGAGTGTAGTGAAGATGGTTACTATGAAAATAGTGTGTAGTGAAGAGTTACAGTATAGTGTGTGTAGTGATGATAGTGTGTAGTGATGATAGTGTGTAGTGAAGATGGTTACTGTGAAGATAGTTACAGTATAGTGTGTGTGTGTGTGTGTGTAGTGAAGATGATTACAGTATTGTGTGAAGACGGTTACAGTATTGTGTATGTAGTGAAGATGGTTACAGTAATGTGTATGTAGTGAAGATGGTTACATTATAGTGTGTGTTGTGAAGATGGTTTCAGTATAGTGTGTGTAGTGAAGATGGTTACATTATAGTGTGTGTTGTGAAGATGGTTACAGTATAGTGTGTGTAGTGAAGATGGTTACATTATAGTGTGTGTGTTGTGAAGATGGTTACAGTATAGTGTGTGTAGTAAAGATGGTTACATTATAATGTGTGTTGTGAAGATGGTTACAGTATAGTGTGTGTAGTGAAGATGGTTACATTATAGTGTGTGTTGTGAAGATGGTTACAGTATAGTGTGTGTATTGAAGATGGTTACATTATAGTGTGTGTTGTGAAGATGGTTACAGTATAGTGTGTGTTGTGAAGATGGTAACAGTATAGTGTGTGTTGTGAAGATGGTAACAGTATAGTGTGTGTTGTAAAGATGGTTACATTATAGTGTGTGGAGTGAAGATGGTTATAGTATAGTGTGTGGAGTGAAGATGGTTACAGTATAGTGTGTGGAGTGAAGATGGTTACAGAATAGTGTGTGTAGTGAAGATGGTTGCAGTGAGGATATAATGTGTGTATTCACCTAGTTGTGCTTGCGGGGGTTCAGCTCTGCTCTTGTGGCCCGCAAACTTTCAATCAACTGTTACTAACTAATTTTTCCCACACACACACACACACACACACACACACACACACACACACACACACACACACACACACACACACACACACACACACATAGGGCCTCGTTGCCTGGTGGATAGCGCGCAGGACTCGTAATTCTGTGGCGCGGGTTCGATTCCCGCACGAGGCAGAAACAAATGGGCAAAGTTTCTTTCACCCTAAGTGCCCCTGTTACCTAGCAGTAAATAGGTACCTGGGAGTTAGTCAGCTGTCACGGGCTGCTTCCTGGGTGTGTGTGTGTGTGTGTGTGGTGTGGGGGAAAAAAAAAGTAGTTAGTAAACAGTTGATTGACAGTTGAGAGGCGGGCCGAAAGAGCAAAGCTCAACCCCCGCAAAAAAACACAACTAGTAAACAAACACAACTAGTAAACACACACACACACACACACACATACACACAACATCAAAAGAGGATAACATCAGTGGCATATGCCAGGCTGGCCAACATACGAACGGCATTCAGAAATTTGTGTAAAAAATCATTCAGAACTTTGTATACCACATATGTCAGGCCAATCCTGGAGTATGCAGCCCCAGCATGGAGTTCATATCTAGTCAAGGATAAGACTAAACTGGAAAAGGATCAAAGATTTGCCACCAGACTAGTACCCGAGCTGAGAGGTATGAGCTACGAGGAGAGACTACGGGAATTAAACCTCACTTCGCTGGAAAACAGAAGAGTTAGGAGGACATGATCACCACATTCAAGATTCTCGAGGGAATTGATAGGGTAGATAAAGACAGGCTATTTAACACAAGGAGCACATGCACAAGTGAACACATTTTGAAACTGAGCGCGCAAATGAGCCACAGAGATATTAGAAAGAACTTTTTTAGTGTCAGAGTGGTTGACAAATGGAATGCATTAGAAAGCGTTGTGGTGGAGGCTGACTCCATACACAGTTTCAAGTGTAGATATGATAGAGCCCAATAGGCTCAGGAATCTGTACTCCTGTTGATTGACGGTTGAGAGGCGAGACCAAAGTGCCAGAGCTCAACCCCCGCAAGCATAACTAGGTGAGTACACACACACACACACCGTTTGTTAACGATATAAAAACAATTATAGGAATATGTTTATTAAATCAAAAAACATTATATTCAGATAATCAATTAAGAAATCATCGTGTGAGTGAAGAATCCATAAATCTCTGGGCAAATATTTTCTCCCTGTGCAGGAGGTCAAAGACCTTGTCGGCCTTCAGCAAGTCTTCGATCGCGCGGCACCTTCTGTCAAAGCGGCGGCGAAATGCGCCAGCGGCAATCCAGTTCTTTCCTTCTTTCCTAAACACCCAACTCTCGTATGCTCAGTCCTCGACGACGTGCACCTGACTGATGATATTTTCTGAGAAGCGGACAGACTTGGTTTTCTTCTGGTGGCAGCCATCGTCGCCGCAGACCTTTTCCTTCTCCATACTGACCAGGCCGCTTCACACTATCAAGAACCTATAGAATACTTCTAGTAATAATATACTAGATGCAAGAATTATAGTCATGCTAATAGTTCGACTGGTCTAATAAGTGCGGTGCCCTCTAGTACATACATATAAAAAATACATATAAAAAATAAGTGAGCTATTACACAATAAAAAAAATAAAATACAGTGCAATCATTTGAAAAGAAAAAATCTGCAAAATGGGTCAAGAATGTTTTAGTATTTCGGAAACAAAATTTCAGATTAAGGATATTTATACTTTTATGCACTTGAGTATTCTAACATGCTGATTAATATAATCTCTAAGTCTATAAAATATAAAATGCAACATAAACTGCACCTGCATGACCTTAACACAAGGGAAACTTATCTTTACTAAAAATCACTGAATAAATACACATTAGTTACAGGGCTTGAGCCAGGTCTGTATAGGAACTCTAATAACAAAAACTGTGTGTACATATGTACGCAGACATACATATGAACATTTTATGAGATGGTTACACCATTATACTTAATTACAATAATTCACTGGAACTGTTAAACAACAAGAAAATTTGCTACAATATATACTGTACAACCATTCATTCTGTGATTATCCATTCATTTCAATAATGACCAGCTTACCAATGCTTTTCTTGCTGCTGATAGGTCCTTCTGGCGAATCTCAAATTTAGCATAGAGTAGCCATATCTCAGCAAAGGTAAACACCTTGTGTGGAATTAGACGAAGGCACATTTGGTACACCTGCCGTGCCCTCTCCATATCCTTGGTAGTGAGCTCTTCAAACACTGCATAATAAATCCAAAGGTAGATGTAGCGGCGCCAGTGTCTCTTCTCCTGTTGGGTGTCATCACAATCAAATTACAGATATACAAGCAAATAGTTTTGCAAATGATCAATACTGACACATGGAACACTTATACTGTATCAGTACTGTACTGATATATAAATAACACACACTAAGTAATTATCAAAAAAAGGCACCAAGCTGGAACATACTAAATTTCACAATATCCATCAATACATAACAAACATTCTGGTGCAAGACTCGGGAATAGTGTGCTGATAATACATACACTAACCTTTAAGGGCGGAACACAAGCTATTGCTCTCTCATATGTCTCTCTAATGAGATCCACATTGCCGTCTGCCTCCAACATCCGTGCATAGTCAAACCATGTGTCATAATCATGAGGATTGGCTGTCACTGCTTCTTCATACTGAAATTTCCTCTTGCTGGTAATGACATCATCAATCGATGATTTATCTCCATATTTCTTTTCATGTCGTGTATACTCATTGTAGAGAGTCAAACACTTCTCTTTTGGCATATGATCCAGTGCGTACCTATAAATAACTCGGGCTCGATCATGTTCCTTCTGACCTTCCTCAAATTTAGCAAAGGCAATAAATAAACTCTCCTCTAGGTGATCATCGCCATAGATATGGCAACAAGCAACATGTTGCTTGTTGCATGTCAATGGCACGTTCATACACTCGCCGAGCACTCTGAATGTAGCTATGATTCTCTTCAAAATGAGCATATTTAATCCAATATTTTGGTTCGGGATGAACATAAACAAAGCGTTCGTAGATTGCTCTTGCACGATCTAGTTCTTTATAACGTAGCTCAAATTTAATGTAAGTGAGCCAGGCCTGCTCATCTGGCTCCCACTCCATCCATCGCTCAAATACCTGTAAAAAAAATATCCCTTTATTATGGTATTATCTTTATCATCATTACCAAGTTTCAATTATTATGGAGTTGAGTGGTATTAGCACGGAAAAAACCATGAAAGCAAGGTAGGGGAAAGGAAAATGTGTACTAAAAAATCACTCATTCTTTCACTATCTTCCACACTAAATAGCATCACATAATACTCAAAGAATTAGTACCATTATGTTTCAGCTGAGCATCCACAGCAGTATTCCACCACTTCATATGACAAAAATAAAGTGTACTTACCATGATCTGCTTAAAAGTATATTAAACATGTACAAAGAAATCAAATTAACAATGTATCAATGAGAAAATCAGGAGCTATAAGATGGATTCGAACCTGCATGTTGGATACTCCAAAGCACACACCTTAGACATGCACAAATGCACAAACCACATGTCGTTTGTGCATTTGAAGAGAAGTATTGAAAGAACTACTCCTATACTACAGCGTGAGTGCATGCAGACCATGAGTGAAACCCTGACTTGCTTCAGTGGAAGACTCGGGACCCATAGAGGACTCGGTTGAGCACCAAGTTTCGTTGCTTTTGAGCATGTCGTTGTTAAGTGGTCTAAGGCATGCACTTGGGAGTACTTAGTGTGCAGGTTCAAATCCTCCACATAGCTCCTACTGATTTCCCCAATAATAAACATACAAACAATAATAAACATTTAGCAAAGAGTGAAAACTGTTGCGGTTGGTGAGAAGAAATGATGCTAGAGCTAACTGGATTGAGTGACAAGCACACAAGAGGAAAAGGATGCTATGGAGCTGCATTGCAGACATCAATGCTGTAACTAAACATCTGAGTAACATACTTAATGATAAAATAAAAGTAACCCAAAGGATGAAGTTTGAAAAACAGGAAGATATGGCGATTGCCTTTACAGCATTGTAATATGTATATTCAAGTTTCTTTATAACCTTGATCATATTATATGATGTTGTAGTATCACGAGAGAGATCAGAAATGTGGCTAAAGTGAAAAACAGTAGTAACAATTCAGCCTTGGTTCACCTTTTTACAGTGTCAGTCACCAGATGACCTTCACTTTGCCAGGGGGAAATATTCCCATCATTATCCCTCCTATTTTCCTTATATGAAATCCTAACCTAATGTATAGATGATAACTGAGAATATGTCTAAGGTCATAGTCAGATGCTAGGTGTCCTTTGTAATTGTCTGATTTGCCAGGTTATTGCTTCCCATATACAAACTGGTCAGGAAGTTTGACCAGAATTTTTCCATAAGAAATAATGGGAACTGAATTAATCCATTCCAGACCCCCAAAAATACTAACTTCAAAATATATTTTATAAATAATGCATACTACAAATATTTTGTGCTACAGGATGTACAAGTTATATCTTACATTTATTGATGACTCTTGTTGGCATATAGAAGACGGTGAGGAGGGGGAGAGGGGGGGGGGGAGATTTTTAGTGTTTCGAATGGGTGTCCTCTTCCATTATAACATCAAGCAGTGATGACTTCTCTGGGGTACTCTCTCTCTCTCTCTCTCTCTCTCTCTCCTACGTTTTGCGAGCATAACACTAGGACCTGGTCATGGCTCACTGCTTGCTTGTCTTACTAAGAATCAGTCTATAGACACTTGTTTTTCCCTACATTTTAACACTTGTCTGTAGTGAGACATCACATTGTCATTAAAATGGTTAATGCAACAGCCTGTTAGAGCTTTATCTGGGTGACACTTTTCAGCAAAACTTTGCAGTTCTTCCCCTGCTGCACACATTTTCTTAATTAATGAGGAAGGGACATGCCTCCTCCTCCTCCTCCCCTGAAGAAATTTCCTCAGCTGTCTCTTGTTGCTGCTCCTTGGGAAGGGTTAGGAGTTCGACAGAGGTCAGTGCTTTGCTGTGTTCTTCCACCAACTCCTCCACATAAGCACCATCCAACCTAGCTAGTACAACACTCATACCATTTTCATGTTTACGAATGATCTCTTGTTTTTCCTCTATCATCCTCACCTTTGTTTTCTTAGGTTGAGACTTACCACTGACTTTCTTGGGACCCATGTTGTGATATATAATAATTACTTTTTATGTTCAAAAACCAAAAAAGCAGAAAAATAATGAAATCCTTTACAAAGAATTCAAGCACGATCGTCACTAAGCGGGAGGTACTGGTAAACTGAAGCACACCTCGCCTGTGCCACCAGGAACCCACGCGCTCGGTCGACCTATACGTGTATCAACAAACTCGTCGCCAAGTGAGGTAAAGGTCATCAACCGAGTCAAATTTTACGAAGAAATTGAGATCGTAACCAGAAAAATTCGTAAAGAGTGACAGTCGTTAATCGAGGTTCCACTGTAATATAAACATACAACCTAAATAATTGATCTTAAATAATTAATAAAATTCCAAATTCAATCATTTAATGTTATAGAGTATTTGGGAATGACTTGCTCTCACCTGTCTGCAGCCAGCAATGTTCTTCAGCATTTCCTCCATGTAAGTAAACTTGTACCAAAATTGGTTGGCTCTCGGTAGGATGGTGACCGCTCTGTCCCACACATTGCGAGAATGATTCACCTGAAAATGCAATTAACGTTTCTTGTCTGTATAAATATTAATGCTATATTTCAAAATATATAAATACTTCATATTATCAATATTGAATACAATACACCACATGAAAATAAATATATGAAAGTAAAGCCAATGGCTAGAGTTCAACAAGGTATATAAAAAAAAATAAGCCCCCAATTTGTTGTTTTCACATTTCTCAATAACAGATCAGGAAACTTTTTGCTTTCAGGTTAATAATTACTTTAGAACATATTGCATCCAAAGTTAAGTACTTTTTTATTTATTTTTTATTTTTTTATTTATATACTGTACTGTATATACAAGAGTTCTTACATTCTTGTACAGACACTAGTACGTATAGCATTTCGGGCAAATTTTACTTGAAAAGGTACTCAAATAAATTTGCCTCAAATCAAAACAATTATTCAAGCCACTAATTCTGCTTGTTCACATTCAGAACAATTTTTTTACATTTACTACAAAGAGAAAATTATCGTAATAATTCTTCAGACCATCATCTTAAGGAACAAGAATGTGGTAGATAGGTTACTCAGTGAAGAAGACAGACAGTTATCTCCATTCTTTATTCTATACTTGAGTGAAATAGAATTTTACTTACACAAAAATCCAAGCATATACAAGTACACCTGGGCTACCTATATGTCAATAAATTCACTTACAAAATATTAACGTCAAAGAACTCACCTGCCGGCTACGCATCTCCATCTCAGCATACTTCAGCCATAATGTAATATTTCTGTGTTCAACATCCAAAGCTCTCTCATACACAGACCTGGTTGGAAAATAAGATCAAGAAAATCTATTTAAATCATGTAAATAATACAGTACTTAAAAATATTGCTCAGGTGTTTCTTTAATCTTCTAAACACTGGAAGGTGTTGAGGAACAAAGTTTCAAAGTGTAGTAACAGAATTATATGTAAATACACTGTACTGTATTTAATACATTACGACCTGTACAATCAACAGCCAAATCATGCTCAAGTAATGATTAATCAACACTGGATCAACATTTTCAATATTTATTCGAAGTTACATCAACATCATTTGACCAGATTTGCCTAAGGGGATCTTGTATAGTAGCCCCCAAGCAATCTAGAAAGTAGCATAATTACCTACAGTGAGTAACCTCCAATTACAGTATTAAAACCATACTGTACTTCCATTACATCAAACCCCTCATAATGATACAGTACATATACACCTTAGCTGAAGTGTTAACAAGAATGCACAATGTAAACCTTGATATGGAAAAAGACAGCAGGGTAGTTTAAGCATCCTCTGGACCCAGAAGGTAATGTGTGTGATCTTTGATATTTTCCATGTGTGATGTCTAAACAATTGTCAGTGTTAGAGTAGGGACTTATAGTTTGGTGAATATCATATATTGTTCTCAATAAACCCTGTGTTAAACTTTACATCTGAGTCACTTAAATGGAACCTTTCAAACTCCTCTGTGTATTTGGCCGGTTGTTTTGTTAACAACCGGCCCATAATTAATGAGTTAAAAAAGGACTCTTAAAGTCAAGGCATGTTTCTTGCCTCATTGCTTGATATAACTAAGTGACAGGCAAGATGGTGGCAGTGGTTAATTAATAAGTCTCTGTATACCATTTCCTTGGGAAGGTACCATTGGTCCTGGATGTAACCATCAGTGGTGCATTATATTTCGGTTCATATTACATTGAATATGTAATCTAAATTACCAGTGTTATAACTAGTATCATCAAGGTTTTACCTCAAAGTGTTACAAAGTGCAACCAGTAGGAAGTGTTATTCAGGATTAATCAGTATCTTCAAAGGTTAATAAAATACTAGTGTAACAATATACCAGAGATACAAGGGAACCAAACAGGGAAGCTGTATATTTTGGCTGTGGCTGTACTCTCATAACAGCACCACCTCTGCATCACCATGACAATGATAGTACCTCGTCATCTTCACCTCTGCATCTCCATCACAATGAACAGTACCTTCCTATCTTCACCTCTGCATCATCATCACAATGATCACTACTGTATTTTCATATTTTGCAGTTGTCTTAATTACACATCTTGTTCTTTAAACAGGTTTAATTACTCTCACTTGTATAAAATTTAATAAGGTTTAATTAAACGTTTAATTACTTTCACTTGTACATTGCTGACTGAAGTATGTCTTGTTCTTTAAACAGATAAGTATTTTTAAGAGCATGGAGAATCATATTTCATTTACATCATTGCCATACCAACATATTATATTTTTACCAATTGTCTCAAGAAGTTGTTGAAATTCTTTAACACTGAAAAGACTGACAAAACAATTTATTTGGAGCCATAAATACTGGATAGATAATGATACATCATAAGTAACTTCTGATACATCACAAGTAATTTCTATCAAAATACATAAAACACTCTACCTGGCTCTTCGAATTTCTTGCTGCTCTTCCTCCCACTTTGCATATTTAATCCAATTGGAAATGCTTCCCCGATTTTTACGAATGTTATCTTCAAAGGCTCGTCTTTTCTTCAAACGATATTCTTGAAGTTCTTCTGGATCTGATATCTTCTGCCGTGGAGGAGGGGGCACAATTTCAAGTTCTCGCTCCTTAGCTTCTCTCAATAGTTGTTCTGCTGTTATCTGCAGCTCAGCAGGAGATTTGTCCTTTACCTGTTGGATTAAATATATAAACAAAATTAATAGCAAATTCTCCTTTATCTTTTAATTTAATAAACATTTAATATATGCAAATTTAAACTCAATGATGATACTAAATAGACTTTACTCTAAATGTATACTGTATAGTGTATTGTACATATTATAATAATAATAATAATAATAATAATAATAATAATAATAATTTTTAGTTAGGCAAAGGTACATACATAAAGAGATTTTACAAAGTTTGTTGGCTTTATAGATAGGAGCTAGTACATACAATGCCTAAAGCCACTATTACGCAAAGCGTTTCGGGCAGCCGAAACACAACCACCATGAACCAAGTCACTGCAAATGACTTTAGTGGATAGTTACTCGACTACAAGATTTCTCACTATTTCTTGAAGCTTAGACAATGTTCAAGGGGATGTTCAGGTCATTTCATACCAAAGATACTCAGCCAACGAATTGTAAAACCTAACCTAACCAAGCCTAAAGCATAAATTACTAAAAAAAAATATAATTTTCATAAGAGTTAAGCACTGAATCATGGAAATATTATATTATAGTTATTTTTACCAATGTGTAATCTTTCATATGGCATATAATATATGCTAACAAGCTTGAATGGTCCCCAAACCAATATGCAACTATATAATATATATATATATATATATATATATATATATATATATATATATATATATATATATATATATATATATATATATATATATATATATATATATATATATATATATATATATATATATGTCCACAATATTTATCATGTAGTTTTAGGTTTAATATCGTCAGGTATGCTGTGCATATTAGATTTTTTGCTCCAAGAATCGAGACATTATGTTGAAGACATTGTGGCATAAACTCAAATTTAATCAAACTTTGATTGAATAATATTATTTTTAATCATACATTACATACCTTGGCCACTTTGGGCATTTTCTGTGGCTTGTTTGCCATGATTTCGTCTTTAGTAAACAGAGACTTGTGTATGATAAGTGCAGTTGTCCCCAGCCCGTCACCCGCACCACCTGGTAAACATTGGAGGGAGACCGCGCTAAAATAAGTAATCAACGTTTTATATGTAAAGTTAAACTGATTATGACAAATATGCGTGACATTGTAGCTCTATTATTTATTTGAAATATTTATTATGAAATTAGTGACTTTCTGGTACTATACAATGTTGTTTAGTTATGATATAACTATTCCACTTTACATTTTGCATCCTGTATACAGGGGGTCATATATTTTACCTAAATTTAACTTAGGGCCACTATCTCTAGAGTGACCTCGACAAGGACAGAAAGCCGGTTACTTGTCAAAGGTCCCCCCCCCCTCCTTCATGTGTCCTAATGAAGATATGAGCAATATAGTGAAAGAAGGTTACTGCAATTAAAAAATAGATTGGGAAATATCACTTCATTTTATCATTCAGCGGTATACAGTGTAGTACTGTATACCTCTTGATTAGACAATGTGAACAGTGCTTCTTGTAAATTGTCATAGGGATTACTGTATGTTAAAACACCAGTACATTTGCCTCAGTGTTACAAGCTTTCCACCCAGCACTGACTCCTCCTATGTCTTCTTAATTGTCCACATTTGTCTGCATGTCTGCTCATCTTTTTTGGCCTACTCTTTACTTCTCTTAGATTAGCTTTAGTGCAGTCTCTTCACCTTGTTTTGTCATCATTTTGTCACCAAACCCAGACCATATATAAGTAATCGTTTCCTAGTCTTGTGGTTTATTGACTCTTGTGTCCTATGATATTTTCATTCCTTTCTAACATCACACACGAGTTAGATTATCCATTTCCACTGCTCTACTTCTTGGTTTTTCACATTTATGCCATTCATTTGTCAACATTTGTAAACAACTTTTGTTGTACACTTTCATGCACACTGTAGGCTGTATCTATTTCAATTTTTTTTTCTAATGAGATTTTGTAGAACCTGATTGACCATATTGTGAATTTTGTGAATTGCTCTTTTATTTTATTTTTGGGTCATTGGCTCCACATCCAGTTGATGTGGAAAATGTGGTACTGATTAGCTGTAAACTTTGTGCATACAAATTGTAAAAGGATAATGTTTGTTTCAGAGATCTCAAATCAGACAACATTCTTCTCTCACTGGCTGAAGGAGAGCAATATCCATTGCTAGTTTTGACTGATTTTGGTTGTAGTGTTACTACTGATTCATCCAACATGACTGTACCTTTTCCTTCTCGTGAATCAGACCCGAGGCAAGGCAATGCTGCATTAATGGCTCCTAAGGTAAGAAATTGCTGATGCATGAATTTAATCGGTTAGCTTAATTATAAATATTGCAGAAGTGTCAGTTTCTGTATAATACAGTATTAATAGTAGTTTATTTGCATTAATTAATAATATAGCCATGTAGTAAGGAATGACACATTTGGCCTAGGATGCACTACCACTTTACAAGTGGTTTAATGTTTCACACATTTTCTTTTCATTTTCCGTGTATCTGTCCCTCATTTTCAACCTCTGAATATTATCCTTTACCTGCAGCTTGCTTTTAATGAATTTATAGAAAAGGCCTGGATCTGATTTACATTTGTCTGCAATACTGTTCTCAAAGTTCCTCTCTGCCTCTCTCCTTATTGACGTGTAGTTGTTTCTTGAATCTTTGTATCGCTGGTATGTTTCAGAGTTTGGTCTCTTTCTATAATGATTCCATGCTTGTGTCTTGATCTGTCTGTCTGTTTGCATGTCTGTTTTGGTATGAATGTTTGTGTGCCTTCATCGTATATTTTGAAAAATTTGGCATACATTTCATTTACTTCCTTGCCTAGCAACAAGTCTGTCCAATTATACCCCATGAAAAACATTTCTAAGTTCCCCATAGCGTCCTCTCTTAAAATCGGGTTTAACAACTGTTTCACTGTCCCCATTCTCTACTAGATTATATCGCATAGCATATTTAATGTCCAAGAGGACGTGATCACTCTTTCCCAAGGGAGGAAGGTACGGCATGTCAAATACCTCTTCTTCTTTCCTGGTGAATACTAGATCCAGTACTGACGGAATATTCCCTTCCCTCATTCTTGTGGCCTGCTTGACGTGTTGATACATGAATGTCTCCAAGATGAGGTTTACAAACCTGCCTGTCCAAATGTCCTCTGTTCTTGCCTCGTAGGCCTCCCAGTCTATTGCCAAAGTTGAAGTCCCTCAGTATCAACAATCGGGATTTATCTTTGCCAGCTCTTAACATAATCTCTATCATGACCTTTATGAGGCCTCCAAAGGATACCTGATCAACCAGGCTGTGATTCGTACGTCAGGCTGCGAGCAGCCGCGTCCAACAGCCTGGTTGATCAGTCCGGCAACCAGGAGGCCTGGTCAACGACCGGGCCGCGGGGACGCTAAGCCCCGGAAGCACCTCAAGGTAACCTCAAGGTAGGCCCTCTCGTTTGTCATCCAGTTCTTCCTTTGTCCATGTGTTGCTTGCTGGTGGGCTGTAGGCATTTACAATTATCAGCTTATCATCTTGATTCCAGAGCTGCAATGCCATTATGTCAATACATGTATCTCAAGGGTTTTCAAATATTAATTCTTTTACCTTCAGGTGTTCTTTCACCGGCACAGCCACTCCTCCCCCTCTTCCTACTTTTCCTGTCACATCTCCAAACTGAGTAGCCCCTTGAGAATACGACCTCATTTAAAATATTTTCTTCAAGTTTCGTCTTTGTTAATGCAACAATATCTGGGACTTTGAGCTGAATTATATATTTCAACTCCAATATTTTCAATCTCACTCCATCTATGTTGGTATATACTGTACTACTTTCAGGGATATGTTCCCCTTCCCTTTGTTCTTTACACCCCTTCCTTTAATGATTTTGTTGCTTTGTCTTTATGTACCATTTCACAAGCTTTCCAGTCCCTGACACTGTAGAAAAAAGAATTCCTTTCTTCTTCATTTCTATCCCCATTTAGATGTTTTGCTTCAATCAGGTTCATTTTCAGCTTTTCTCTGTCCTCTTTTGAGAGGTCTTGTCTTATTGACCACAGTTTGCCATCCTCGTCACATTGCAATTTTCTGGTATTCCGAAGCACGTCTGTCATATACTTCACTCCATTAGACGTCACCCTTAAGGGGTGGTTCTTGTCTTTCTCATATTTTCCTATTTTCCTAAAATCACTAACATGTTCCTTTGAATTTAGTCCTTCTCCTAATCCTACTATTTTTTCTATGATTATCATCTCTTCTACTGCTCAGTCCACCCTAGATGAAATTTCCTTCTCTAAACATCCAAAAATTATTATGGACTTCTATCGACAGTGTTTTGTACCCGTTTACTGTTGGTTACCAGTTCATTGCTTGCCTAAGATCCGCTTCTTGTTTATCATTTCTTGTTTGGACTTCCAAACACACTTCCTTAACCACCGTGCTGCGCTGAGTTTATTGTGAAATTCCCCCTGTGCGCATGAAATAAAGTGTTCCCAACAAATTCTTTTTTCTTCGTAAAATGATAAATTCCCTTCCCTGAACATATCTATGTAAACATAAATACCAAATTCCACTTACTTTGGCTGTGGGGACGTGGACAAGGTGCGCTGTGATGTCATCAGGGGCTGGTCACCCGTGCGTGACATGCCCAGACACGGTCGCGCGGGCCATTCAAGCACCGGATGTTGCCACAAATATATTTTCAATTATTTGTTCTATGTATTTCCAATGCGGTTCTATTTTTTTTTTTTTTATCGTATATGCATATTTGTGTCCTTTACAATATGCATACAGTAGAACGTTCATAATGTTCCATGGAACTGTGATACATGTCATTAATGTGTCAACAATAAATGTTTATTGTCGCAATATTACTTGTTAAAAATTCACTAAAATTACAATATGTATAGTTTCACACACTATTTACACAGTAACACACTGTATTACACACTCAGTACTTTGGAAGTGAGTAATAATTAACGAAGTAGTCCATGGTACACAGCGCGACTTCGATCTCGTTGCACCAGGTACAGATAGATTTTCCCTTCCTGTTTCTTCGTTCAGTGTGCTTGCAAATAACGCACTCGCGTACACCCTTGGCATTAGTACCTGTAGGTGGTATGTAGCCAAGCTTGTAAAACGTAAGGTAGTCTTGAAAAGATTACAGGAAAAGATCACTTTGTAAGGTCCCACACACGAAGAGATTCAGCCAGCCGCAAAGAGTGTCCATGAGTCAAGAGGAGATTCAGCTTTTCTTGAAAATATCTATGGAAAACACCGCCATGGAAGCCGTTAACACTGTTAATCCATGATACTTCTATCAGATGAATCATCACTGAATGTAGTAAACGATTCATCTATGTATCATCTATAAAAATTGGAGATGACATGGGTGGGCAAGAGTGGCGCTCAAAGCTACAACTGGATATGCTCACTATATTGTCCTCGTCAGTGCTGTATCACTTACATCCGACCTTTGTGTTAGGTCCTTATTGCGCCTAGCTTCACCAATATTATGACCCTTCTGTTCTTCAAACAATAAGGTTTGAATTTTATGGACAGAGAGCGATATTTCAAACGCAAGAATCGATTCAGTGCAGGAAAATTCTGTTTGACAAAGTTACTGAGATCTCTACTGCAAGATGAAGGACACTACACCGCATATTACGCCACTCTTAGAAAGCATTGAACACTGCACGATACAAAAGTCTCCCAATTAAGGTAAACAAACAGTCTGGTATATCTGAATGACTGCTAAAATAGGTGAAATGAAAACCTCCCAGGAAGAAAGCGAAGGAGTTATACAGAGTGGAGAGAGGTATCGAATGAAGTATACCTCATGGGGTCGGATCAAAGACCCAGCCAATGCTTAGTATATGTCAACGACCTGGCACAGAGAACAGATTCCTTCATTTCACTCGTGATGCAAAAACTAATGAGAAGAATTAACACAGAGTGGGACTGTGTTAAACCCTTCATGGAAAATTTGATGCATTCCAGAGACTGTCTGGAAATTGGCTT